TAGAGGATAAGAGAAACTCCCTGATAGGCCAAAAGCTGAAGCACTAGCATCTCATGGGGTACCAAACTTCTCCCAGGCTTGGTCCTTCGCGCGGGTACCTCACACTTAGTTCCAACCATCTGGTTTGTTGTTGCATCCTTCCAATAGCTTTGCTTTCCATGCTCCTAGAAAATAAAAAATTGACACTACAAAAATAATACAATTAAAAAAAATAAAAAATAAAAAAAGCAATAAAGCTAGGTTGCCTCCCAACAAGCGCTTGATTTAATGTCGCGGTACGACGCGAATCACTTTTTTTCCTCCACCTCGAGATTATGAATTGAACCCCAAGGTTTGCTTCAAGCTTATGATTATGCTCTTTGGGCGGTACAAATTCTTGCGAGCCAAAAATTAGATAAAGTCTTACGCACTTTTTGGTTCTCGACCGAGGAGTGTCACCTTGCCTAGACGGCCTTGAGAATTTCAAAATATAAGGCTCATCTACCTCTTCCTTGGACACCTTTTTATGCTCGTAAGGATCCATTCCCTTTTCACCATCCGAACATAATGTAGAGAAGTATTTGGAATGAGGTCCAACGCGCTCAAATACATGAACTTCATGATTTTTGGCCTCCTCAACACCAATCACACTAGAGTCAACTAAATTTGTATCTTCAATGTCCTTGGCTGACTCTAGTGTTACTTCTTGAACATCGGCATCCTCAAATTCTAGTTAGATAGATTTTTGGTGTTCTACTCTAACCTCCTCCCTTAGCACCTCAATTTCAGTGTCTAATTCATGCTCTTCTTGACTACTGTCCCCAATATAGGCTTGTTGAGCATTAAATGCTTCAACTAGTTGACTCATTTGTGCCCCAAGTTGCGAATAGTAGCATCTTGCCTTTCTATCCGCATCTGTCTTTCATCATTTTGTTCCACGAGGTACTTTAGCATATCCTTGATCTCTTTCAGGTTATCATCCTCGGGTTCTTTGTTCCTATTAACTTCACAAGAAAAAGTAGAACCATCAAAGTAAGGGGTTGGGGAAAGATAAAAAATATAAGCACAACCATGAAAGTGACCCTCTTGACCACCACACATATCACATACATTCCACACATAAGATTGAGTTGGTGCACATAACTCGCTCTTGGGAATATTTTCTAATTTCTTTTTTCTTTCTTGCTATAGCTTACACGTCGAAGTATATCAAGTTTTGAAATTTCACCTTCAGTTGATCCCCTAAAATAAAATAAAGATAGAGGAAAGAGGGGACGCAAGGTAGGACTAATGGCGCATCTTACATATCATTAATTTAAGATAGGAGTCGCACTACAGATACATATTCTGTTCATCTTGCATATACGTTGTTAGATTATTTTAAATGTTAGCGAAATTTATTACGTAATAAAAGAAATTTGACTTCTGAATTTAGTAATACTATTTTTTTTTGGTAAGAAATTTGACTTCTGATTTAAGTAATACCACTTTTTTGGATAAGTAATTTGATTGTTATTTTATTTTTATTTAGCAATAAAGATTATGAATTAATTAGTTTTACTTAGAATCAAATAAAAATCTATTTATGTGGAGAGAAGTCAATATAATCAATCATCGATAATAATTTTAATATCCTCCTTCTTAGATTATAGTATTAACTTGTGTTAATAGTGAGAAATTCTTTTTTATAAAATGAATGTTGAGCTAAACAAGTTTTTGATATATGATGTAGATTTTAAAAACATGTAAATATGGACAACACTTTGTAACATGATCTTATCCAATAAAACAATTAATACTGAATCATGATAGTATAGACACTAAGGCACGAACCCTTATGATATTGTCAATGTAGGGCAAATATGGTAGTGTACCAGGAAATAACAAAAATCGCTTTTCAAATATGTTCGAAAATTAACCCTCGCTCATGATAAATAAAATAACAGTTACTTATGTTTCTATCAAGAAATTATTGAATTCAAAATACATAATATTAAATTATTCAAATATTATTTATATGATAATGCAACTTTGCATACTTTCTGAACCAGATGCAGATAGCAATGTAATATAATGCAATTATAACAAATCTCATTAATGTCAACTTTTGATATTTATTTGGGGGCTGAATGTAATTTGAGTAACTTTTTTGTGTATTACTTGTGAACTTCTGAGAAAAGCGAACTGCAAATGCAAAAAGTACATCTAAAATTTCCTTTTTATGGAATGAAAGCAAAGAGAATTTGGTCACATTTCAATTGTGTTATATTTTTTAATGTCTTCTTTCTTTCTTGTTACAGCTTATATATTGAAGTATATGTCGAGGAATAGAACGCGCCTCACGCGCGCCTCAAAATCGAACCTAGGGCAAAATTCTAATTCTCAGAAACAACCTCATCACCATGAATCCAATCGGCAACGTGCTATCAGGAAATCAACAGGGAGTGCAAACTACACTCACCAACCCTACTATCGACGGATTCCTCAATAAGTCAAGTTATTTGACTGCGCTGGATGGTTTCTCGAGCGGAGGAGGAAGGAGAGATGTGCGACTGGAGCACAAGCCCTATGAACTTGTGGAAGGAAAAACAAGAGTAGTATTCTCAAAAGAGGAGGATGACTTGTTAGCAGAAAAATGAAAGTTGATTGTGGTGGGAAAGTTCTCAAGAAACAGACCACAGATTGACAAACTCAGGGACGACTTCAAGAGAATTTTCCCGTTGGAGGGATCTATCAAAATTGGGGTGTATGATTGGAGGCATATGTTTATATATTTCTGAGATGAAGATGACTTTAAGCGTCTCTATAGCAAAAGATCGATGTAGTTTTGTGGTACGATCATGTGGATTGATAGGTGGACAAGAAAATTTAAAGTAGACATGGAGTCAACCTTAGTACCTATTTGGGTGACGCTGCCAGAACTACCTTGGCACTATCACGAGTGGGCGGCAATTGAGAGAATCTTAGAGCCTATAGGCCCTTTGATCGCACTGGACAAGGCCACTATGGCACGTACCAGACCGACGACTGCTAAGGCTCGAGTTGAAATTGATTTAACGAGGCCAAGGATGAAGGAGATAGAGGTAGCCTTGATTGATAATAAGGGCGAATTGGACTCTTTCAACCAGGTGGTAGAATATGAAAGCGTGCCCGATTTTTGCTTCTACTGTAGGATGAAGGGACATTCTGATAAACATTGTAAGCTATAACGTCCTAAGGAGGAAGGAATTGGTGCATCAGTTGTAGTGAAAAACAAACAGAATGATAAAGGTGGAAGACAAGAGGAGGAAAAGTGGATAGAGGTGACTAAAGCAAAAAGCGCCAAGAGGAACATACAGGGAATCAACAAGAAGCAACAAGTAATGACCGTTGAAGATTTTCAAAGGTTAACTCAGAGAACTGAACCCGTAAAAACTCCGGTGATGGAACAAGTAATACAAGAAGAAAGTCCAATTGAAGTTTTGCCATCTTCAACACCATTGGCGCTGGCTATCACGGAGGAAAAGAGCCACAAAGAGGTTTGACGCAACTCTAAATTGCCTCTGCCAAAAAGAAAAGAGGGAAGAAGGACAAGAAGCTAAAGAATAGAGTAGAAACGAAGAGGAAGGCAAAAAAAACATACTAGAACTATTCCATAGCAGGTTGAAGAGCATGCACTAGCTGTGGAGACAGAGCTCCTTAATATGACTCAGGAGCAGGTCAAGAATATTCCAACTAAGAAGAAAAAGAAATTCAAGTCCAAGATAACCCCCGAAGACTTATCTGATGTGGAATGGCTCGAAGGTTATTTAGGGAATGAAACCTTTCCTACCCTTAACCTTAGGCCGGTGAAAATAAGGGGGGAGAAGAACGAGTGCAAACTCAACACTGCATTCCCCGATGAGGTCCATACGCTTACACCAGGGAAATCACCAACATAAGTGGCAATGGGGTCGAAAGGCCAAAGAGAACAACACATGAGACGTCAGATACAGACATGATACCATAAACGCAAGATGGTGACTCACAAATGCTGGATGAGATAGAGGAAGGAATAAAATCAGATGATGAAAACTTGCGAAGGCCACATAGGGCCCTTGATTTTGAGGATAATACAAAAATAATGTCAAGTGTTCAGATAACAAAATTCAACAACTTCTCACCAAGAGGTACTCAGGTCCAAGATGGAGCTAAGGGTTGGCCATCACCAAGATCAATCAAAAATAACAAAACAGGAACAAAAGCTTCCACCTCTAATGTTTCTCATGATTAACATAATTTCATGGAACATAATGGGCATGAAATCCCAACAAGCCTTTGAGAGGCTTGAATCTCTAAAAACACAATACAAATTACTCTTTATTGCCTTACAAGAACCTATGGCCAGGTCTTCAGAAATAGAAAGATACAGATATCGGTTGGGTATGCAACACTGCTACCACAATTGTAACAAAAAAATATGGATCTTTTGGGCATCAGATATGGGACTGAATGTACTGGAGGACACAAAACAACAAGTTACTTGCCAAATTTTAGTTCTAATAATCAATGATACTCATACATATATCAGTTATATATGCCAAGTGTACAACATTGGAAAGAAAGCAGCTATGGGAAGAGCTAAGAGCATGACATAGTAAAATTCAAGGACCGTGGGGGTGTGGTGGATGATTTTAATGTAATTCTTAATGTTGAGGAGAAATCAGGTGGAAGGCCGTACAAAATTATAAAAGCTTTGACTTTATAGAATGCATTGATGATTGTAGCCTCAAAGATGTAGGTTTCTATGGTGCAAGGTTTACTTGGAGCGACACTAGAGGGCCAACTAAAATAATATGGAAAAGATTGGATAGATTACTTATTAATCAAAATTGGATAGACGTGTACAACAAGACCTCGGTTCTACACCTAGCTAGAGTCTGCTCAGATCATACTCCCTTATTGATCACCATGAAGTCTAAAGAAATTAGCGGGCCAAGATATTTCAAATTTTTAGACTTCTGCGAAGAACATGAAGATTTTATACATGTGATGAAAGAAGTATGGCAGGAACCAATTGGTGGAAATTCTATGTGGATACTACATCAAACTTAAAGAAAGTTTGCCAGAAATTAAGCATGTGGTCCAGGGAAGTGTTTGGGGACATATACAAAGAGCCAAAGAGGTTGGAAACACGAATTGAAAATCTAGAAAATGCTCTAGTAGTGGACAACTCGGCAAGTAAAAGAGCTGAGTTGAATAAGGTGAAGGCAGAGTATGTGCAGTTTCTTAAACTTCAAGAAGGAGTTCTACAGGCAAAAGGCAAAGTCCAATTGGCTAAAAGACGGGGCAAGAGCACAACATATTTTCGTAGTGTTATAAAAGGCAAAAGGAAGAAACTTAATATTCAAAGAATCCAAGATGATAGTGGAAATTGGAGAGAAGGGGGTCAAGAGATTGCTTCAGCAGCAATTGATCACTTCCAGAGAATATTTTTTCATAATGAAGCCTCAGAGGATATGTCGGCGCTAGACTGTATAGAACCAGGAGTGTCTATAGAGGACAACAAAATTCTTACAACAATCCCAACAATGGATAAGGTGAAAGATGATGTATTTTTCATTAGCCTAGAGAGTGCACCTGGACCTGATGGGCTGAGTGCATTTTTCTACCAAACTTGTTGGTCTGTAATCTCAGAGGACGTGTATAATGTTGTCGTGGATTTCTTTCAGGGGGAAACCATGCCCAGGTTCTTTGCACATACATTCCTAGTACTACTATTAAAAGTGGACTTCAATTAGCCTCTGTAATGTATCGAGCAAGATTATTGCAAAACTTTTGAACTCAAGACTGGGACAGACTTTACCAAAAATTATCTCCAATAACCAGTCAAGATTTATAAGGGGCAGATCAATCGCACAGAATATTTTACTGGCACAAGAAATTATAAAATAACCCCAGTAGGGTGGCAATGTGGTCATAAAGCTTGATATGGCCAAGGCCTGTGATAGAGTCGCATGTAAATACTTAAGTCACCTGATGAGAAAGATGGGTTTTGTGGCTGGTTGGGTAGATTTGATACAGAGACATATTTCAAGCAATTGGTACTCCATAATAATTAATGGGCATAGATATGGCTTCTTCAAGTTAGAGAATGGGCTCAGGCAAGGCGACCCCATATCACCATTTTGTTCTGAGTGCAGAGCTACTCTCAGTCATGCTAATTGATTTACAAGAAAGAAGAAGTTATACAGGGTTCCATATGGCTAGATTAGGCCCACAAGTCAACAACCTAGCTTTTGCAGACGATATTATCCTTTTTGCTAGTGGTCGCAGGAAAACATTGAAGCGGATAATGGACACTCTATCTAGATGCGATGAAACATCAAGACAACAAATAAACAAAAGCAAAAGTTGCTTTATGGTAGCTGCTGGAGCATCGAGAAGAAAAATCAGCAGGATAGCTAATGTCACGAGAATGCAGAGTAAGGATTTCCCTGTTAAATATCTGGGAAGCCCACTTTTCATAGGAAGACAGAAAATCATACTATCCAGACTTAATTAGCAAAGTGACGAATTGAACAAAAGGGTGGCAAACAAAATTTTTATCTACTAGTGGTAAGGCCATTCTCATCAGGCATGTTCTACAGGTAATACCTATTCATCTCTGTCCACTATGAATCCGCCGAAAGGAGTGTTCACTCATATAGAGAGAATATTAGCCAATTTCTTCTGGAGGGACTCCGGCGGGCAAAATAGGCATCATTGGGTGTCTTTGAAGGCTTTGTGTTATCCATATAACGAAGGCGGCGCTCAGTTCAGAAGGCTTCAAGATTTCAGCAATGCATTCACAACCAAGTCATGGTGGAACCCGAGAACAGGCACATCGCTATGGAAATAGTTTATGTTGGCAAAATACTGCAAAAAGAACCATCCCCTAGTCACTAAGTGGAGAACAGGATAGTCACAACAATGGAAAGCGCTATGTGATATTAAGTACGAGGTAGAACAAAATATAATATGGCTTCCTGGGAAAGAAGACGTGTCCTTTTGGTATGATAATTGGACAGGGCTAGGCCCACTATACATTCACCTGCTAGAAAATGCTAAGCCAAAAGATGTTAAAATAAGAGAAGTTCTCACTCAAAAGGAAGTTGGCAACTGGACTCAATGGGGATAGAAGTGCCTGAATCGGTCAGAGATGAAGTTGCCCGACATCAAATAACTTTATCTCCAACAGTCCCTGATAGAGTAATATGGGCTGCAGATACTAATGGCAAATTCTCGATAACATCCGCTTGGGAGCTCTTAAGAGACAAGAAGGAGCAGTCAAGTTGGTTTTCGAAGATATGGCAAAAACAAGTTCCATTCAAGATGAGCTTCATGCTACGGAGAGCAGTTCAAGATCGAGATCCGAAGGATGAGAAAGTTTCAAGGTTTGGGTACAATCTCCAGGCTGAATGTTACTGCTGCTCACCCCCGACCAGCATATTGGAAAGCTCCGAGCACCGATTTTGCTCAGGAAATTTTGCGCATTCCATCTGGACAGAGTTTGCCAGACCATTGGTATTAATGTTGGAAACTTACAATTTAGCCAACTTTTATACAAATGGGGTCACTCAAACCTATGAATGTGGTGGCAGCGTTCATGGGCAAGATCATACAAGGGGAGCGGGGCAAGCAAGAAAGCAGGCAAAGTCATTGAGCCTATTCTATTACGAAAGTTTCATTGAATCAATAAAGGAAGCCTATTGAATCACCTTTTGGGAATAGAAGGGGAAGGGATTTCTCTAACGAAAATGAAACATTCAGTGGCGAAATTAGCTCGCGATAACGCTCAGCCACCCGGCAGCATTAATGAGTCTCTAGTTCAACTGTCCCTCAGAGACAGGGTCGAGAAGTACAATGCATGGCTGCCCCCGTCCTTTCTTTCTGATCTAACACCACAGGCGATGTCCAGGGATCATCCTCTCAATAGAGACCATTCCTTTGTCTTAACTCGGGCTGAAAAGGTAGATTAGCTCCTGATTTCACCCCTTTTGATTTCAAGCTACTTGCGCCTATTGTTTATTGGTCCAATGGCCTCACTCCCGCCCCCAAAAGTGGAGACCGAAGAACTGCCAGGTTGTCGAGGACACGTCTGAAGAGGAGGAAAGAAGATAAGAAAACACGAAGCTTTCTCTTGCTTTCCCAAGCTGTTGTTTCTAAAGACTGCCCTCTTTCGGCAACTAGGCCCGGTCGTCGGTTGAACGTCAGTAGGGTCCGGTATTCATTCCTTACTCAAGTAGGAAGGTGGCAGTCTCAATCTAGCGGCACGACTTTGACTTTGACTTGAAAGAGTAAGTTTTCGCCTCTGTTGTTGAAAAGTCAGGACCCGTTGGGAAATCTATTCTAGACCCGCGTCTTTCACTGCAATGCATTTGCCGGGACTGAATCCCCTTTCTTGAGCAATCGCCTTCGCTCGTTGGCAGAACGCCTTGATGCGGTTATTTGTTGGTAATTATGGAGGTCAAGGTGCGCAGCTAGGTATGGGGCGAAATCTCCGTTAATACAAAGATCTGTGTCATTGATATCTGCGACTATAACAGAGATGACAATGCAAATTTTTGGAAAATTGCGCATATATAGGTCATGGGGACAATTACAAAGTGTTGCATAAATCCGTCAGAATAGTCAAATGGAGCAAGTCACCACAACTATATTACAAGTTGAATAGTGATGGTAGCTGCTTAAATGGGGACTGTGGAGCCGGCGGCATCATCAGGAATAGCGATGGCAAAATTATTCTTGCATATTCTCTGTACATCGAGCATGGCACCAGCAACTGGGCGAGTGGGGCTATTCTTCTTCCGGGGAGACAAAGTCGTCACTTCTACTGACCAAACCCTCAGTTCGGGGGTCTCCGTCAACATGTTACAAAGCTCCAGTCTTCGGTGCGGAAAGTCAGGCATTGTTGTTTGGTCTACAACAGTGCGCACAAAAAGGTTTAAGCAAGATAATTGCAGAAACGGACTCGAAAATGATGGAAAACAGGTATGAACAACAGAAGCAAATAGCCAGGATCACTTGCATGTAGACAACACATAATCACAGATTTTAATCAAACATAAAATTCGATACTTATCTCTTGAAGCGTGACTGCAATCGCCAAAAGACCTTCAAGCATGAGCAAAAACCGTCCACGAGATCATCCTCCAGTTCCACGGTCTTCTGCTGTGTGACCCGAATAATGGCTGGAATTAGCGAAACTCGTGTGGGCGAGTTTCTCCTAGGAAAACCGTGTAGTAAAAACTATTTCCTCCTTATGGAATAAGACCTCTTTATATAGCCACAGGTTTTAGGGTTTAAAATATTTTCCTAAACCTGTTGGGTCTTCCTTTTTCACCAAGAAATATAATTCCATTAATTCTTAATTATTCGGTCACAGCAGGGACCGCGGTATTTAATTTACGAGGCTTCCTATTATGGACTTAATTCGAAATATCCGAATTAATACTACCATAATAAATTACGAATTATTCCACTAAAAATTCGTAACTGCACTCCTCAGTTCAAATTCGAAATTCTTCCATTAAACCTTGTTTAACTCCCCATGTTAAGATTCAGATACTAATCGAATAAATTAAATTACTGACAATATAATTCATAATTATTTCCTTTAGACTTTCGCTTAACTTATTTCATGTGGCGGATACAAAATCCACCTGTAGGGTTTACACATGATAACTTATAAGCTTTCATAAAGGTGTATCATCAATCTCTAGACCGAGACATGGATTCCATCAAATAACTATTACTTTGCCAATGAATATCATTATTGTCCAATTTACCAGGCATATTGACCCACGAAAGAATCTTGCCTTTTAATAAATCAAAACAATAATAATATACACAACTAATAATAATTATATCAAGATTAAGAGTATAAGTACATTTAATGGCTAGAGAATTTATTTTATTAAGTCAGTATAAAATACTTATCTCTACTTGGTCCGTTCAATACATACAAAATATACTAGCACAAGAAGTTGGAATTAGACAATTCCCATAATCAAGATAAAATACATTTAATCTTGTGCTACAATCATTCCTGATAGTTTGTCCAATTCCATTATTAGATTGTGAACATGATCTTTATACTTATAAGAACCGATGATTTAATCTTCTGTGTATAAGTTAAACTCTATACACTAAATCATCTATCTACTATATAAGTAAAGGACACAATTGAATATATGATCTATTTAAAACTATATTAAAATTGAATAAACAATTGTTTCATAATAAATACTATATCCAAATCAAAATTCATGGTTAATAGTATATGGAAATTCTAACGTCTTGCGTGAATGGAGAGGTCACCATACCATGGAGATTACTACAAACAATGGATAAAATCATGGAGATTGTGAATGATAAAGGAGTAGTGGTGAAACATTAATTGCTATAGAGAAGCTAATAAAGTGGTGCTGCACTTATCCACACACCTTGTTTTTACAAGATTTGAAGATTTGCCCAGACAAGTCAGAGGTTTCATGTAATTAGACAGATGGGAAATGGCTTCATTTAAAGGCGTGGGAGGTCACCATGAAGCTTAGTTCACTTTGTTTTTTATTCGAAAATTGAGTAAGAGGCCATTTTGTCAGTCTCTCAATTCGAAAATTATTCTAACGCCGCATCTTATATCTCATGAATTTAAGGTAGGAGTCGCACTATGGATGGATGCTAATTCGATTCATCTTACATATACATTGTTAGATTATTTTATAGCAAGTTATATTACGTAATAAAAGAAATTAGA